GTGTGTACCTGTGGGTATTTGTGTGTGTGCAGGGGGTGGGTGTGTACTTGTTGTTGGGGTGAGGGGGTGGTTTGGAGGGGGTGGGTGTGTACCTGTTGGGTGTGTGTGTGCGTGTGTGGATCGGGTATGTGTGTGTACCTGTGGGTGTGTGTGTGGGAGTGGGTGTGTACCTGTGGGTGTGTGTGTGGGGGAGTGGGTGTGTACCTGTGGGTGAGTAAGGGTGGTGTATGTGTGTGTGTGTGTGTTTGAACATGCTGGGAGTGTGTACCCGGGTTTGGGGGTGGGGGTGTGCGCATGTGTGTGGGGTTGTCGGGGGAGCATAGACAAATGTATGAGCAGATGTTTATTAGACTCAGCATCTTTACAGCACAAAAAAAGGGCCTTCAGCCCATCTTACCCACACTGGACATCGAACATCCATCTACTGTAATCCCATTTCTCAGCATTTGGCCTATTGCCGTGTCTGCTCATCCAAACAGTTCTTAAAATCGCTTGAGGATTCCAGTCTCTACCATCCTTTTAGACAACAAGTTCCCTTGGATTGATTTTTTCTTTCCCCCACAAATCCCCTCTAAACCTCTTTCATGGGGAAAGCATTTCTCCCTATCTGCCTCGTCTATGCTCACAAAGCTTTGTACACCTCGATCAGATTCACTGGGCCACCTTCTCTGCCCTAAGGAAATAACCCCAGCCAATCTAGTCTCTCTTCACACCTGAATCGCTCTGACCCAGGCAGCATCCTGGTGAATCTCCTGTGTACCCTCTCTAGTGTAATCACTGCCTCCTTAAAGAGTACTGATCAGAACCATACACAGTGCTCCAGCCTTTTCCCCAGATCCCTGCACACTATTACTTTCCAAAACAACCATCCAGTGTCCCTCTTGAATCTTCGCTTGAACCTGCACCCCCATATTTCCAGGCAGTGCATTCCACACCCTAACTACACGCTGGGCGAAAAAATTATTCCTCATATCAGCCTTGCTTCATCTACACATCACATTAAATCTGTGCCCTCTCATTGTTGTTTCTTTTACACCTTATCAATGCCTTGACTGAAAAAGGCAAGTACCCTTTATTCTGGTTTAACCACTTTACCTACCTGTTGTACTGCCTTCAGTTATCTATGGGTCCCTCTAATCCTCTCTCTTTCTGAGGGTTCTACCATTCAGCATGCATTCGCTTTCCTTGTTAGTCCATCCACAATGCATCACCTCACACTTTTCATTAAATTCAAATCATTAGATTAAACTCCATTAAGGGGAGGTGATGGTCTAGCGGTATTATCGCTGGACTGTTAATCCAGAGACCCAGGTAACGTTCTGGGGCTCCGGGTTCGAATCCTGCCATGGCAGATGGTGGAATTTGAATTCAATAAAATATCTGGAATTAAAGAGTCTAATGATGACCATGAACCCATTGTCGATTGTCGATTGTCGGAAAAACCCACTTGCTTCACTAATGTCATTTAGGGAAGGAAACTGCCATCCTTACCTGGTCTGGACTACATGTGACTCCAGACCCACCACAATGTGGTTGATTCTGAACTGTCCTCTGGGCAATTAGGGATGGGCAATAGAGGCTGCCTAGACAGCGATGCCCTCATTCCGGGAACGAATGCATCTAAAAAAAATTTGCCACTGTTCAGCATACCTGACCAGTCTGTCTACATCATCCTGCAGTCCAAGCCTTTCCTCCTCACTATTTACAGCAGCACCAACTCTCATGCCCTCTGTGAGCTTACTTACTCATCATGTCTCCTACGGTCATGTCTAGATTATCAATGGACACAACAAACGACCCAGCACCAAACCCTATGATATGCATCTGGTCATAGGCTTCCAGTGACAAAAACACTCTTTGACCATCACTTCTGATTCCTAACCTCATCAATTTTCAGTTCAGTTTGATAAATTGCCCTGGATCCCATGGACTCTTAGCTTCTTAACCAGCCTGACATGCGAGACTTTCTCAAAAGTCCATGAGGCTATGTCACCTCCCCAGAACACTCAGTCAATTGATTGGGAGAGGTCTCTCCATGTTCAGGAGCCAGCTTCTGGTGTTGGTTTATGGCTGCAGCCAGCAGGGGGAGCTGTTTACCAGTAAATGTCTTAATGCTGTCCCCTAATGGGGGGCGTCCAACATGGAGGGAGTTGGGGGGGTTTGAGGGGTGGGGACTGAAGACATGGCTGACTGTTCCCAATCCTCCAGGATTTTCCAGCAAACACAGGAGAGAATTTGGGTTTTCCTTCATTAGCAACAAGGCAGACAGTCTCTGGTTCGCGTCTCCTTGTTCAATTCTTTAATTTACTTCAAATGTTTTATTTTTAATCTCCTGTGCATGGTGCTAATTTTTCCCACAAAAAGGAACCATTTTCCAGTTATCAGGAATGTGACCCAGCAGACTGGTACTCACTCAGGGGTTTGGCTGTCTGTCCCAGGATTGGGGATGGAGAACTCCCAGATCCATAGCCCCCACCCCTGAGAACTAGGCCCAGGACAATGGAGGGCAGCTTCATTCCTGTCCCCCCTCTCTCTCTTGCTCCTGCCTGCCACTACTGCATGAACAACTGTCCTCCCCTCCCAGTGGCTGTGTCACTGTCACTCGCTCAATGTTGTGTGTGAGCCTCACTGCCCTCTCCCCCTTGCTGTCATTTCCTGCTCCTTTGGTTTCTCTCACCTCAGGATGGGCCTCAGAGTTTATTGTTTCCCATGTGTGCGCGGGTCTGGGCGGGTGTGGGTCTGGGCAGGTGCGGGTCTGTGCACATGCGCGGGTGTGTGCGTGTCTGTGCGCACGCGTCTGTGTGTGCGCATGTCATTACCCACTGAAGTGCCCCTGACTCGGGTGTAACTGTTTGTTGTCTTTTGCCCCGTCTGCAGGTCCACTGGCCTCTGCCCCTCGCACAGGCCCTGTCCTGCCTTATAACTCGCCCGAATCGACGCCCTCTCAGAACCCCCTGTCCCTCATGATGTCACAGATGTCCAAGTATGCCATGCCCAGCTCCACTCCACTCTACCACGATGCCATCAAAACCATCGCTACCTCTGATGATGAGCTGATTCCTGAGCGCTCCATGGCGATGATTCCATCAGCAAACATGCCCGGTAAGTCCACTTGCGGCTGTGGAGAATTGCATTTGTATAGCACCTTTCCCCACCACGGGGCCTCCTTTACCTCCTACCTCTTATGGTCTAATGACCTTTGTTTTGAGGTGAACGATGTGCGGTAGCCATGCTGTGCGTGGCAAGATCCCACAAGCACCAGTGCGATAAGCAATAGGTCTTTGGTTTATGATTAAGAGGCAGTTCCGGAGCCCCAGTCTCTGAAGAGGACTCTGTAGAGCAACACCTCACCATACTGTGAGGATGACTCTTGTATCTGCAGAAGGTCACTCTCGGCCCCTTGACATCCACCTTTGACTAGGCCATTGGTGCCATGTCCTGATGTTGCTTGGGGTTGGTTTGTTAGTGAATAAACACTCCAGGAAATGACTGGTGTAGATGTTACATCAGTCAGGTATTGTGTTAGTACAGGTTGCTGTTGAGTTTCTCGGCATGTGGAGGACTGCTTAAGCATCACTCAGCTTTTTCATTTCTTCCCCAGGACTGAGTGGGAGCCAGAATCCACAGATGCACCTGGTGTCACAGAGTGGGCCTGGATCTGGATCGGCAAACAGCCCCCTGGCAATGAGCATGGTGAGCCACCCACTCTCACACGAGCCTCCGACCCCCATGATGCCGTCCCCCAGCCTGATGGGGCACAACGTCCCGATGCACGAAGGGCACACTCCTGGACTGGGCGTGCAGAGCCCCATGATGGTGCACCCTCCCCAGGACTCCCTCAGCCAACCCTGCGGCCCCCTACCCACCACTGGCCCCCAGACGCTACCTCAGAACCCCATGGTCCTCCAGCGCATGCAGCACCAGTCCCACAATGCCCTGCAGTCCCCGGGCTCCGGGATGCATCAGGTGTACCCCCCGAGCATGGTGATGCCTCAGGATGAGGGTGTCCCGTCACACGGGGTCTCTGCTGGATCAGGGCCCCCTCAGCAGCAGCCCCCTCCTCCCCACCTGATGGTGAAGAATGCACCAAGCCGGCCTGCAGGTGACAGCTACCAGCTCTCTGGAGTGGCCTCAGTCCTCAACGACCCAGAACTTCAGGATGTGATCCGACCCTCAGCCAGCGGTATTCCCGAGTTCAACCTCTCGCGCATCATTCCCTCTGAGAGGCCGAGCAGCACACTGCAGTATTTTCCCAAGGGGGACTCTCAAGCATCGAAAGCTTCGTCTTCCAACCCTCACCTCATGAACCTTCAGAGTATGATGTTGGAGCAAGCTCCTCCGAGCAGAGCCAGCCTCCCAGGACAGCAACAGCAGCAGCAGAGGGGCCTAAGCATGCACATTTTTCACCCGGGGCAGGTACCGGGGCCTATAATGGGAAGGACAGGCCTGGCATCCCAGCACAGTGTGATGGGGAACAGCCTGCATCACGTTCTCATGTCACCACAGCAACAGAACCTGGTGCTTCAGGCCAAGCAGAGGAGCCTGTCGATGTCGGGGGAGATGTATGGACAAGTGGGGCACATGCTGCCCCCACAGGTCGGTGTCCCTCCCCAAAGCCTCATGTCCCCCCAGCAGCTGAGACAGAGGAGCATGTCGTTAGATACATCCATCAGCTTTGTCCCTGGACTGGGAAACACTGCCAACTTACCCTTCTAGCTTCTCCCCTTTTCGTACAATTAGGACTTACGCAAGTTGAGAAGCCGCGGTGATGAGTGTGGGGTGGGAGAGGGAATTAAAGTAATTTTATTACAAAACAAAATGAGGCCAGAAACAGAAAGAGTTTATACCAAGACGGGGTAGGGTGGGGCGGGGAGAAGTCAAAAAAATATTTTTTAACAGAATGAGCTCGGAGAAAGACTTCCAGACATTTGTGTTTTCAATTTATTTTTAATCTCAATCTCTCTCTCTCTCTCTCTCTCTCGTTTGGTTTCCTCACCTGCTGTTGTGCAAAGGGATTTTTATTATTGCTGTATATATTCTGCCTTGGTCTGTGATTTGTTTTTACAGTTCCTGTAACTCTGTTTTCGCTAGAAAACTGTGACAGGGAAATTGCTGGAAGCAGACCCTCTTCCCATACAGAAGATCACTGTTTCAAAGTTCCCCAGCAGCAGGTTTCTGAGATGGCACGGTTAGAGTCTGGTGGCTGGTCCCATAGTGTCGTGGGCCTGTCATTTTGTGGTTTAATGAAGAAACTGTGCTCATGGTGCTATGGACCTGCAACACAATGGGACTACTTTCATAGTGAGGATTGAGGGGATGGAGGGGTGGGGGGGAAGTGGTTATAGGGCTGTTTGGTATTGATCACATACCTAACCCCTGTTTCACCCCCACCCTTTGTGGGGTTGGAATGCAGCTATACAGCCCAGTTGACTGTGGGCATCAAGGGAGGGAGTTTGAGACTTTTATCTTGGAGCCTGTGGACCTGTGATTGTTAGGGATTGACTCTGAGCTGATAGCACGCTGTGTCAGCTCAGTGCCTGAGGGCAGTGTTTATCAGGCCATGATCTTTCATATCAACGTTAGGAACTGGCCAGGATTCCTGAGAAATTTGGAGCTCTGAGAATGGAATTTTGGTTATTTATCTCCCATCCCGAACACAGCAACCGCCTCACAGAGTGTAAAGCCTCCACTGTTGGGGATTTGGAGTCGGCTCTATAACAATTTACACTGTTGAGACATTAAGTTCAAGTTGTGAGTGTTTACACAACACAGAGCTGGGCCATCAGCTCCAATGATCTGACCAGTGGCAGGTCTCCCTCCTCACTGCAGAACTGTTGTACCACCAATACATGAGGGTTAACTTGTGGTTAATCTCCAGGCTCCCTCAGGTCACTGGGTAGTTAACCACTTTTAATAAAATGTTGTCGATACAGGACCCCCCCCACCCTCACTTCAGTGAGAGTTGAGGATGCCAAGTTTATTATTCAGTCTGAGGAGCATTAGCACCTCCATCTGCCCTCAAAGAGCTGGGTAGCTGTCACTCTGTGGTCCCAAAGAGCTGGGTAGCTGTCACTCTCTGGTCCCAAAGAGCTGGGTAGCTATCACTCTCTGGTCCCATACCAGTAGCTTCTCTGCCCCAGAGTGAAGCTGTTTTGCCTCCAGCTCATATCACTCTCCATCGGCTGTGGATGGAAGTGGGGTTTTAAAAAAAAATATGTAAAATCACTCATGCTCCTGATCCCTCTGTTTCCAGAGAAATGTTTGGTTAAATCACATTTCCACCCCCTTGGGTTTCAATTATAAACTATTTTTTCCAATCAAACGTGAGAGTTCTGTTTCCCTGAGTGCTGGTGGGAGCTGCCCTGGGGACTGTGGTTATACGGTAGCCCTGCCCTCGTATCTGGGTCAGGCTGCACTGAGCACTGGTCACTTGTCTATTTGCACAGGGTAATGAGGAAGGGGGCAGGCAGTTTGGCTGGTCATCCACTGATATGACCTCTCACTGGGCAAAATAATGGGTTGTGATTCCATGACCCCTCAAATTTAGCAATATCCTGGAGCACAACAGGAGAGATATTGATTGATTAATAATTGGGGCTGGAGGTGTGCTGGGTGAAGAGATTAGCCCCTACCCCTGCTGTATCTGAACCCTGCTCCTTATCCCAGGCTGTGAAAACCTGCCCCCAGGGGGTGGTGCTGGTACTATTTCAGGGGGTGCTGACAGGGAGCAGAATGCAGTCTGACCCATGCACTTGCCTGTGGGATAGTTGGTTTTGAGAGGGGTGTTTCTCTTCAGGAGAGACTCACATCAGGAACCTTCAGTCCCTGAAAACCTTGGCTCAGTGAGCTGGGGGTTTCGCCATGGGTCCAGGAGTCTCATGACATGTGGCTCTAAATGGTGGGGGTCCCTAGGATCCTAAGGGGAAAAGGGTCTCTCTGACAGATTTAACTGTCACAGCCCATCCATCATTTGAAACATTTTTTTTTGCACCTTTTGGTCCAGAAACTGGTTTTGTTTCTTTGTTTATACAGTTCAGACATTCATAAAATAAATCCAATTTTAAAAAAAACAATTTGTAAGAAAACTATTTTTGTTAAGAGGAAAATGCTGTTGATTTTTCTGACTCCTGGAACAAGCCACAGGAATTAACACATGGAATTTCCCCACGGTCACAACAAGGAATTTAGTGGGGCAAAGGTGAGAACACAAAACACTCTGGGGAGGAGGAGAAATGGAGTTGGGAGAAACTGTCATAGCTCTGGAATACCCTCTCCGCTCCATTTTCCTCCTTCAAGAATCTCCTCACGATATAAACTCCAATAAACTGAGCTTTTAGCCATCAAATCTAATGTTGTCTCCTCAGGGCCATGCACCTTTTCCTTTATAATGTGAAGTATCTTTGGATCTTTTTATTCTGTCGGTGAAAGTTGTTGCTGGTCTCTGTATTAGCGACACTCCTCAATTTCGTGTCTCACAAATTTTGCGTCTGCTCCTCAAGCCCAGTTAGTTTATGTAAATAGTGAAAAACAGTGATCCACATGCAGCTCCACTTCCTACTATTTGTCTGTCTGATTTAATTATTTTCAACACTTACCCTCCATTGTGTAGCTTCACATTTTCTATCCTCAGTCACAGCATGTGATTCCTTACTGAAAGCCTTTTGGAAATCCATATATATTACATCTACTGTATTCCCCCATCCAAACTTTCTGTTAATGGTAAGTTGAAGCATGTTGACAACTACTTTAAGTGTCTAGATGTTTTTGTATTTCATCTTTTAGAAATGATTCCATTGATTTGTCATCCTCGTGACATATTCTGCCAGTGGGTCATGGATTTGTAGAAAGTGAATGATTGGTGTCAGCTCCTACCCTCCAAGTGCGGGGTGAGTCATTGTGATGTGGGAGTGCAGGCCGATACTTGTGCATGTTTCAAAGTCCAAGGCGAGAAATTTTACAACCCCTTTTGCACTTGTGTCACCAAGAGAATGTAGCGACCAAAGCAACGTACTTTGTGTGCAGGCCACAGAGAGAGGAAATACTGAGCAAGTCTTGCAGCCACTGTGGTGAGAGAAACAGAGTTAATGTTTCAGGGCGATAACATCATCAGAATTGTTTGTCTTGTCTCTATCTTTCTGTATGAATGCTACCTGGTCGCCAGTATTCTGCAAACATGGAGTTTTTAGTTAACTTAGTGATAGGCCCTGATTGGGAAGAGAATATATAGAAACAGGAGGAATTCATACACACATAGGAACTAAGAACAGGAGCAGGCTGTTCAGTCCATTGTGCCAGCTGCACCATTCAGTTTGGTCTTGAATGATCTCATTGTGTTTCAACTGCACTCTCCTGCCTGAACCCAATGATCTTTAACATCCTTCTCAGTCAAGAATATATCTTCCTCAGCCTTAAAAATATGCCATGACCCTACCTCCATGGTCTGGCGAAGGGAGTTCCACAGATTCCTGACCCTTGGAGACAGGAACTTCTTCCCACCTCCATCTTCATTAAGGGGTCACCCATCTTTTAAACTGTGTCCCCTGATTATAGTCTCACCCGCAAAGGGAAACATCCTTCAGCATCCATCCCATCAAGACCCCTTCAGGATCTTATAGATATCAAAAAGATCATCTCTCATTCTTTTAAAATACAAAGGACGCATCTCATAACCATCTCATCCCAACGACAAAATCAGGAGCTGCAGGAGAAAACAACAAATGCTGGAGATCACAGCAGGTCAGGCCGCATCCATAGAGAGAGATCAAGCTAATGTTTCGAGAACTGCGAACAAAGAAATCTGAAATAAAATCAGAAATTGCTGGAAAAACTCAGCAGGTCAGGCAGCATCTATGGAGAGAGAAACAGAGTTCATGTTTCGGATCCAGTGACCCTTCTTCAGAACTGATTACAGCTGGGAAAAGTATATAAATGAGCATGAGCATCTCATTTTGCACTTGGGGATTATATAACCTTCTGGACTCGATATTGAGTTCAATAATTTTAGGGCCTGAGCACCTTCTCCCATGTTGCTACCCCAACCCCACTCACAAGGCCTTGTCATCACATGTCAGCCCTTTGTCACTTCGTAATGGTCGCCATTAGTAGCTGTTCATTCCCCCAGGTGAACCTTTACCCCTTTCCTTTGTCCAACTGTAGTTCTCTCTCTGAGCTCCAACTCCACTTATCCATTACTCCCCACCCCATCTTCAGCATATATACCAACCTATTCCTAGCTACAATCAGTTCTGAAGAAGGGTCACCGGACCTGAAACATTAATTCTGTTTCTCTCTGTACAGCTGCTACCAGACCTACTGTGTTTTTCTAGCAGCTTCCGTTTTTGTTTCATCCCAGTAACACTTGAGTGAAACTCATCTGAACAGTTTCTAACACAATTATGTAACTTTTAAAAGCACAGACACCAGGCAGGGCAGTGAAGGCGGCATTTGGTCCATGTGCCTGTATTGGTCAGTGCATTGAGTATAGGAGTTGGGAGGCTGTACTGGACATTGGTTAGGCCACTGTTGAAATACTGCATTCAATTCTGGTCTCCCTGCTATAGGAAAGATTTTGTGAAAGTTGAGACGGTACAGAAAAGATTTACAAGGATGTTGCCAGGATTGGAGGGTTTGAGCTACAGGGAGAGGCTGAATAGGCTGGTGCTATTTTCCCTGGAGCGTCGGGGGCTGAGGGGTGACCTTATAGAGGTTTATAAAATCATGAGGAGCATGGATAGGGTGAATATCCAAGGTCATTTACCCAAGGTGGGGGAGTTCAAAACTAGAGGAGATAGGTTTAAAGTGAGAGGGGAAAGATTTAAATGGGATCTAAGGGGCAATGTTTTCACGCAGAGGGTGGTGTGTGTGTGGAATGAGCTGCCAGAGGAAGTGGTGGAGGCTGGTACAATTGCAACATTTAAAAGGCAGCTGGATGGGTACATGAGTAGGAAGGGTTTAGAGAGATAGTGGGCCAAATGCTGGCAAATGAGATTAGATTAATGTGGGATATTTGGTTGGCACAGACAGGTGGACTGTTTCTGTGCCGTACATCTCTATGACTTTGTGATCCCACCATTGCCCTGTCCGGCTGTAGGAAAAAACATCTTTATTTATATATTCCACTTCAAGAATCAACAAATGTCGTTTAGTTTATTTGCTTACGAGATGAGGTGCAGTTGCTCAGCCAGATTTATTGCCCATTCCTAATTTCTCTGCAGAAAGCGATGGGCATCCTGCTCAAATCACTGCAGTCCTTGTGATGTAGAGACACCCACAATTCCCTTAGGGAGGGAATTCCGGGATTTTCACCTCAGTGACAGTGAAGGAACGGCAATATATTTCCAAGTCAAGAAGGCGACTGGCTCAGAGGGGATTATGTAAGGGCTGGTGTTCCCATGTATCTGCTGCCCTTGTCCTGCTAGATGGAAGTGGGCATGAGTTTGGTAAGTGCTGTTGAAAGCACCCTTGGTAAGTTATTGTGGTGTATCTTGTGTAGGGTACACACCTAGTGTGTTGGCAGTGAAGGGAGTGAATATTGAAGGCGGTGAATCAGTACCAGTAAAGTGGGCTGCTTTGTCCTGAATAGTGTCAAACTTGTTAGAGCTGCGTTGACACAGAAGTGGGGAGTATTCCGTCACACTCCTGACTTGTGTCTTGTGTAGTTGGTGGACAGACTTTGGGGAGTCAGGAGGAGTTACTGGCTACAGAGATCCCAGCCTCTGATCTGTTCCTGTAGCCACTGTATTTACATGGCTGGTCGAGTTCAGTTTCTGACTGGTAGTGGCTCTCAGGATGTTGATGGTGGGGAATCTGATGGCAGTGCCGCTGAAAGTCAAGGCAGGATAGTTAGATTTGTTTTGTTTTGAGATGGCCATTACCTGGCAGGTAAGTGGCTGGTATCATTTGTACAATGCACCCACCCAAGAATATCAGCTGGATGGGTTTCATTGCAAGACTGGGACTGATATCCTCACTGTGTGAGATTTGCTTATGTTGTGGGATTTGGTTTAAACTAGTTTGTCAGAGGGATGGACCCTGAGGGGTAACCCAAATTGGAAAGATGCAACATTGATAATTGGAAGGAGAAATGCAGTTTGGGAGAACTAGAAGCCGGGAGAAACAAAGCTGAGCTTCGAGTATACTTCGAAATGGAATGGTGTTAATGAGGTGCAGTTGTGCTTATGATATGAAGTGAGATCAGTGCATCAAGAAGGGAGGACCTCTGATTGGAAAGACAATGTCTGGAATCTTTTGGTGGAACTAAGAAATAGCAAGGTGTGGCAGACATCAGTTAAAGTTATTTATAGGCCCTCAAATAATGTTGGCAGTGAGGGGCATGGTATTAATCAGGAGATGAGAGAAGTTTATAGCAGAGGCAGCAGCTGCCCTGGGTGACATCAGTCTGCTTAAAGACTGGGTAAACCACCTGAGCTCTCAAACTGTGGAGGATAGGTTTCTGGAGTATTTTAGGGATTTTTTAAAGAGCACCTATCTGAGGACAGTTTTTTTTAGGTTTAGTATTGAGTAAGGAAAATTAGCTAATTTATAATCTTGTAAAAGAAGGTATAGGGATAAGTGACCACAACATGGTAGCATTTTACATTATGTTTGAAAGTGAGAGAATTCAATCTGAAGCATGTAAAATTTGAATAAGGGAAGTTATGAAGACATGAGGCACAAATGGGCTGAGGTGGGTTGGGAAAACATATTAAAAGGCACGAGTGTCTGTAGGCAAAGAAACTATTCCATGGCCTACAGCAACTATACATTTCTTGAAGGTGCAAAAACTTGGAAAAAATGTCAAACATTGACTGACAAAGGCAGTTAAGGGTTGTATAAGATTAAAAAGAAAAGGCTTTTAAAATGGCCAGAAAATGTAAGAAATCTGAGGATTAGGAATTTTTTTGAATACAGCAATACAGCCAAGAAACTGATAAGGAAAGAAAGAATAGAATATGAATGCAATCTAGCAAAAAACATAAAAGGACTGTAAAAGCTTCTACAGGTACATAAAGTGAATATGTGAGTCCATCACAGGCAGTCAGCAGAACTTATAACAGAGAATAGAGAAATGGAAGCGAAAGTAGATAATTAGTTTGTGTTTGTTTTCACTGAGGAGAATACAAACAAAAAGAAGTCTCAAATTAGAGATCCAAGTGACTAGGGAAAATAAGGAGTTAAAGGAAATTAGTTTGAAGGTTGTACTGGAGAAATTAATGGGGCTGAAAGTTGATAAATCTCCTGTGGGTGATGAAGGAAGTGGATATAGAGATAGTCGATGAATTAGTGATCATATTCCAAAA